TTGACGAACCCAGACCTTTAAACTTACCTGTTTTACACAAACTCTTTCAGGCTGTTACGCGGTTGAGACTCGGACCGACATTGCTAGCGCGTCAAAAGCTCTGCGGATTACACACAAGTGCTTGAACGCGGTATTCTTAAGATGACCCGATATAAGCATCATCTCATCGGACTTCACAGCTATAAGAGGGATTCCCGTCTTACAAGGGAAGGAAGGTTGGTCGAAGTGGCCTTTTGAGATGAGGTGTGTACTGCCTTGTAGAGCTTGGAACGCTGAATTCAAATCTACCTTTGCTATCTGCTGCGGGTTTCTGGGCGATGAGTTATGAAGTTTTTTGTGAGTAAAAATCTGAATGCAAAAATAGGGTAAAATCGGTCGTAACCTTTCCCAACGTTCAAATGAGGCAGCAGCGGATTGGTATGTTTGAATCAAGAATATCTGTTGCATTGAATGACCCGACTACCAACTAAGCCCAATAAAAATGTTACGACTGATTTTAGCCTACTTTTGCATTCAGATTTTTACTCACAAAAACCTTCATAACTCCTCGCCCAGAAGCCCGCAGCAGATAACAAAGATTGATTTGGAAACAGCGTTCTAAGCTCTACAAGGCAGTGTACATCTCATTTCAAAAGACCACTTCGACCAACCTTCCTTTCCTTGTTAGTGAATTAGCGAAATATGTTGCGAAAGCGAAGCATTGATTAGCCGTTTATATTACGAGAAGAATAGACTACAGTTGGGCATTAATGACAGCAGAATTTCTGCAAAGCAAAACCTCATGAGGAAGACTCCAACGAGAGGAGCAGAGCAGAGCATGTTTGTGGAACGGATATTCCAGGCGCATAACCCCAGCTAACGTTTCAGCTGGAGTTGTGCACTTGGAACGCAGTCGCCGGCAACAGAGGTGAGATCGTGAGTGTCTGAAGCGAGAGACAGGGACAAATGGAGACAGACATCTGTGCTGAGGCCCCTACTACATCCCTGAAAGCGGGCCATGTAAATATCCAACAAAAGACTGGTCAGCACTTGGGCCTGCGGTAAACCCCCTTGAGTCGTGATGACTCGCTCAGAGCGCAGCAAATGCCCGGCAAATGCCTTTTTGCTGCCGCCCCCATGATAATAGATCGACGTGGTCGAGGCATACGCCCTGAGTAAGGCCGACAACGCACGGCAACACCACGTCCCGTCATGCAGACACAGAGACGCAAAGAGGTCGTGGTGCCGAGAAATGGCTAGCGGCCAACTACGTCCGGGGCGAAGGTGCCACCCGCTGTCCGTGAATGCATGCAAAGAATCAAAATCACGTTAAATACAATCAATATGAACTGCTGATAGCGCACAGTCGCGAGGCGCACAGCTACATAATCTTATTCCAGTTTCTGTTATTATTTTCTCTGTTTTTGCTTCGAAATCTAAACAAAGTAAGTCAGTTTTGACTACATGCATCTTCAGGTCCTCTTCAGCCCAATTTGCTGCTCTCAAAGGCAGTGACTGGGCAAAAGTCGATTTTGAGATTTTGTGCTTACCCGGTCCTATTCGCTATGCTGAATCCGAAAATCCACATTAAAAAGTGCGAAAACGGCGAAAAAGAACTCTAACGCAGGGGGGAAATCAGAAGTGGGCGGGGTCTTCCCCACTGCGGATTCACGCTCCAAGCTTCCGGAGCGATCTTCTCGGTCCCGATTTCAAGACATGCGTTTGCACCTGGCCTGTGAAGATCTTGGAGGGATAGCGGAGCCGAGAAAATCGTTCCAAAAGCCGGGACCGCGAGATTCACAGTGGGGAAGACCCCGCCCACTTCTGATTTCCCTCATGCTTAGAGCCCTTTTCCGCCGTTTTCGCGCTCTCCAATGCGCATATTCGGAGTCAGCGTAGCGAATAGGCCCGGGTAAGCACAAAATCTCAAAATCGAGTTTTTGCCCGGACACTGCCTTCAAGAAGTATTTAGCTTCGATAGTTGTTTTGTAGCCAGTTCGGTCTAGTTGTTTTTCTGCATGCCTAATTTTACAATTTCTTTCATTCTTCTTTCACCTCAATTTATGCAGCTTTTACCAAAACTTTTGTCTCTTTCTTCTGCTTTTCACTAGATGCAAGCCAGTTGTTTTCCTTTCATTTGACTAAGGAAACGATTTGGTGCCGCAGCCTAATGAAGTAGCATAAACTGGTACCGATCGAATTGGTAGAAGTGTTATAATTTTATAAATTTTCCAACCTATCTCAATTTTGTTTGCACACCAATTTACGTCCAAAACCTAAGTTCTTATAAGCACTTAAAAGAACTTGGCATGCATGTGTTTTTCGTATCGCTTTGCAGAAGATTTGCCATAATTGTGACTTGTGCTCCAGACTTCCAGCCTAGTAACGCGCGACACAGGCACTGCGATATCCGCAATAATATTTCCATCTCCAAAGTTTCGAAGCCTAGTGTTTACAAGCACATAGTGATAGCAACCACATAGAATTGAATGCTGGCAATCCAACATGAGTGAACAATTTTGATGACATGGATGCATGCTATGTATGATGCAGGTGTCATACTGAAGGACCGTATCTGCAATGACATTGTAGGGGCTCTAATGAAATTCACTTTAGTCGTTCAAAAAGGCACTTTTAGAGCTTATGTATGGCAGCGCGCAGACGAGAGATAGGTCACAACTTTTACACTATAAGGTAATTTTGTCAGTGACAGCAGCCAGATAATTGAGTACACCCAAGATGTGGTAAGTGGGCCATTCAAAGCCGATCTGAAATACAAGTAGGTAAAAGACTTATCTTAGCACAACTCTGTCTAGAGAGTAGACCATACATGAGTCCATGATACATGCTAGGATGAATCTATTAAAAGACCTTTTTGAATTTACTCTACTATATCTACAACAGTGTTATCCAAGCCTTGTCTGCCACGTATGTACAAGATTAGTTGAAAAATATAACATGTTGAGTTTGAGTATAGGACATTCGAAAATCGCGCCGATGGCGCGACCGCGCGCGACAAGCACGCACTTCCTGCAACGCGTTCTTCTGGTTTCTATCTCTATCCAAACAGTTTTTCCTCTTACACTTAATAGTATTCAGTGACTGGCAGTAAATGAGCTGAGCGTTGAGGTAATGCCTGTTCGTATGGGTATTCTTAGCTCCTGTCTGCTCAAAAACCGCGGTCAAACTTTTCATCACATTTTCAAAAAATCACCTATTCCACTTTGGCATGCATGTAGTGAACAGTCGGAGCAGGCATCCGCAGTAAAGTATTGCACTTTGCATCGATTTGAACCGTCAATTTGAACATAAACCATTCAGAACATATCTATTTGGGGATATCTTTCGGCGATAATGGTATACCATACTCCCGGCGAAATAGTGATTGCAGTAGTTAACGAAATCAATCATCTTTCAGACTGGTAAAATCCCTTTCATAGTTTTTCTACACTTATACGGAATACAGATAGATCCCAATGAGATGTAGGAAAACTAGTTGTGTCGAGCTAGATATATTTCTGTATTTATGTTCACCCTAATGTAGCTAACATAGACTTCTAATTACATGCTTCTTCGATTCTGAAAAATTGTTTGGTTTACTGTATTTCCTTTATCATGAAATCCTCAAGGAAAGGGAGAAAACATACTTTTTTCAATACAAATCAGCTTTTTATCGAACACTGATTTAATATTTCTTCAGCATTGCAAAGATTGAAATATATAAATTTGTTTGTTCAATCCTTAGAGTACTTTGCGTTGAAAATTTGGATCTAGGTTTTCTTTTAAATTTCAATTCTAGGTGGTGAAGCATTTTGAGTAATGCAAGCCTACTGGCGGGCGGAGGCGGCATAGCAACTTAGAGTAGTGTCTGGGCAAAGTTGAGCGGGTGTGGGATTTAGACAATGCAGCAGCGTATGCCTTCGGACGCGCCTTTGCAAAGGACGCTAGCTATCGCTCGGGAAAAGGGCTCACGCCTTAGAGAAAAGCCTTGACCTCGACTACGCTTTTACAGTAGAGTAGCTGCGGTAGAGTACGCATGCCGCTACTGCTGAGGTCATAGGGTCCCACAGCGACTCTGCGTTTCAGCCTTGGCAGGACCTTTCACCTCGCCCATATTCCAACTGAAAGCTTTGAAAGAATCTATTCTCTTTTTTTTCGGGTTGATTATATTTCAGCATCTTATATATAAAGCTGAATGTCTGTTTGTCTGTCTGTATGTATGTATGTCTGTCTGTCTGTGTGTACGTATGTTCCGTAGAAAATTCCATTTCTGAACCGATCCGGACCAAACTTGGCACACATACACTTCGGGCCCCGGCGGGTGTCATAGGCTACTTTTCGTCATCGATCGATATCGATTTTATCGATTTTTTGCAAAATTTGTGCTACGGGGCTGGGAGATGGCACAGGGGGGTAATCGCGCATGCTCATTACGAATATAATAATGACAGGGCCGGGCGGAGCCGGGTAAGTCAACTGGTATGATACTAAAAGCTCAACACCCTCAACTCAGAGTGGACGGTGCCTTTAGGGAAGCTTTACGTCTATATTCTATTTGAATTTGAAGGATTCCGAAAAACTGCATAATTGTCATTAGACCGTACAAATGTTCCCTTATACAAAAAATGGCTGACGTTTTTGCGTAATAGGCTTGTGACGAATAAGCTCAAATAGGCAGAAAACAAATAACTGAGTTTTTGCTGAACATGCGCGAGCGGCGGCTACATCTTGTGAGCCCTACGCATTTTGCGCCTTAGGGAAAAGCCGCGTTTGCCACTGGGCTTTGCGTGTTCGTCCGGCCTAAGACCTCAGAGAGGCCTTTCAAACTGCGAAGATCAGTTGTTAATATTGTATATAGTTTGGGGCCGCATTTGAAGCGTAGCTAGCTTAGCTTTCTGTTAACAAGTTGTTATAAATCTTTGAAATTCGTGAACTTGTACGAGCAGGCCTGCAATGCTATGGGCCGATAGTCATCACACAGCGATTACGAGAGATTTGAGACCAAGTGTCCACATTCAAATCAAACAGTGTAATTATTTTCAAGCCATGTGTTTGAGATGGTTTATTGCTCAATTCTGATGGTAAGGACTCTTCGGTGGAGAAGAGTTTAGAAGTTTATTGTAAGTTTTGAGTAAACTTTCTTCTTCAGCACAATTTGATGGCAGCGCATACTTCCTGCGATTCAAGATGTTCCTGGAAGAAGAAGTACGGGAATTTGGTGCACTGTATTTGCTTCACTAATGCTTGATCCAGTTGTGCTTTCAAATTTCTTTGCTCATTTCGTTGGAAAAATGTCCAATCTTACCTTCATCTTCTCAAGTATGAACGGCATATTTTCCTTCAATAGGACTTTGCATGCACTTGTGAGGAAGGGCAGAGTGTATGTCGTGCAGAATTCGTCCACCTTCTGAAATTTGCATTATCTCATCGCCTCAAATTTTCTGCACTAGAAATGTTCTAATCTGATGCTCCAATCAAAGCAAAGCAATAAAAAAGCTGTCTTGATTGAATCTGGCAAAGATTTTTACATAATTCATAAAGAAGTCTTATTGCCAGGACAATTCTCAAGTTTCATTCTCTATGCGTCTCAATCTTTCTAGGTCATGCCTTTCTTTTTTACACGTACTCTGCGGCCGAAACCAATGCAGACTGGGTAAGCTCATTCGCTTTGCTTTTGAGGGTTCTTCCAACAACGGGTTTTTTTTTTGGAATTTTTGAGCGATTCAAGCCTTTATAAGGTTATGCAATGTTGAAAGGGCTTGTAAATTGTAACAATCCTGAAATCCAAAACTGGTAAAACGCAGCCTTTGAGGCGGCGACTTTAGTACCAACAGTTGACAGTCTCAAAAGCAATTCATGTAAAACGAATATGGATTTTTCTTTGGATTTGTTGAGAGACCTCAACAAAGCCAATGCGAGCGGTATCACCTTCCTTTCTAGCAGAAGCTAATTAATCGGAAGCATTGAATACGGTCCAAGATGCGGTCCAAGTTGGATTGTGGATGACGTAGATGTATACTGTTAGGATATCAAAGCTGCCGTACGGGTAATGGTTAAGCTATGGCCTTTTTCAGCTTACGTGAGAGATCCAGGTACCCAGATATGCTTTGACATCACTTCCAACATTTTGAAGCGCATTCAGTGCGTGTAAAAAATTAAAGGATTTTGCTTTGTTCGATATTATGTTGACTAATTTCGATAAATCAAAAGCGAATTACCTCATCAAGATCAGTCTCAGCTGTTATGACGTGTTCTCTCATGTAGTCGATCCACTTTTTGCAGGTGTCGCATGTGGGTAGATCCCACCCTTCTGCCAGTACGATTACTGCCAATAATGCGAGCAGAAGTTTCATGGCTTTCAGAAAGAGTTACTGTCTGAAAGGGTACCATTGAAGCACTTATGAATGTGCACAATGCTATCGTATATGGAGAACACACTAGAGAAGCACATTTTTCTAATTCTGGCCAAGTTAAATAGAGACAAGCGTAATCCGATAATGTCTCATGACTAAGATGAAAACCCCTTTTTTTGAAATGATATTGAGCAATAATACAAAAAAAGTGACGCGAAATTTGATTTCGCTGTCAGCGACATTGAGGACATTCATGTGATAAGACAAGGAGCATTATGCAACGAAGAAGGAAGTACCCTGGGCGAAGGCTATTGGCCAGAAATCGCTAGATCAAAGGCAATGGCTCGACAAATCGTAACTCAGCCAAATTCTCTTTTACCTAGTTATTCAATACGCTGATCCCGAAAATCTACTTGAGAATGCTTGAAAATGGCGAGAACGAGCGTTCTCCGATGCCCTCCGCTTCAAAATGGACGAGTGTGGCAGGGCTGAAGACGCTGGATTGTTGCAGGACCCAATGGCTATAGCATTGCGAGGGCAGTCTCCAATTGTGAGAGAGGGTTGCCAACTCGCCCAAGCGCGTGTAAGTTTGAGGGAAATTTTTTCGGCAGGGAAGGCATGCTGTGCGACCGGGATTGCACTGTTTTCATACGGTGGTGATAAGCAACCTATAGCGTCAAAGTTCGGAGTTGTTAAGATTTGCCGATCCACTGCCTTCAGCGGCGAAAGAAAAAAGGAATCAATCGTAGTAAAAATAAGCTGTTTGGATATCAAAATCGTCGTTTCTTGCCACTTCCCTTGCGAAAGCAAATGGTAAAAATCTTGTGCTCTTTTTGGAGAGAGTGTGTGAAATTGCAAAATTTTATTGGTCCAATCTAGTATTTATAACTTGATATCTAGGTGAAGCGTTTCCGCGCAAATGTAGTGAATTTATCAATCAATAATGGCATTCACTACTGCTGAACCATTTCTTTCATTATCCTTTTCAGTCAAATCTTCCTGACTTACTCAAGCGCTCCTCGAACTAATAAAAGGTCCTTCTTCAAAAGCACAGTTTTGGAGCATGGGAAAACATACAGTGATTACTGAAGCGATCGCTTTTGACACCTAACACATTTTCCTTGATCTTATTTTCCACTTTTTTCTTATTATTTTCTTATTATCTCTTTTTATTATTATTTTTTGCGTGCTTCAAAGTTAGTACCATCTTGCCTTCAAACATAACATGAGTTACATGTCGACATTGTGACCTGGGATAGATAACCTTCAATCAACGCCTGGCACAGTCGAAACCGTGTCAAGCTGCTTGTCGTTTTTGCAACAAAAAGCTAATCGCATACCATTTTTGCAGGGATTCAGAATCACAGAGGAAAGAGATCAACATATGATATTAACACTGATAAGTAGATTAAACGTGACTTTTTACGTAACTAAACTGTTCAATCTGATTGTGAGTGAGAACTTGAAACTCAGGGGGTTTACATGATGTTGCTCATAGTTTCGAAATGTTGGATGATAAGACAAAGAGCATTGGGCTACAAAGTCCATACACTACTGATTGAATTTTGCAGCCTTGAACGATAATCGTTCCGTAATCGAGGAATAGGAGCAGAATTTTGGAGTTCCTTTGAAAGTGTTAAGGATATCCTACGAGCGGATGAGGTGTGGAGTAATGCGTTGGATTTATATCAAATGAATGACATTATGTACAACACACCGATTAAGTCCACCAAAGCTACGGCAAATTTCCTAGATTTGACATTCTACCACCCTACCGTACACCTGCCACCTAAGAGCCCTGACATCTGAAATGAATGCAATTTTAATCAGCATATCAGGTTATTTCTACGGACTCTATGAGTCATTGCCTGCTACGAAATAGTGTAAGGAGATATCGTTCCTGCAGGATTTGGAGCCCCAGAATCACAGGGAAATACATTGATATTGTTCGCTGCGTCGGAAATTAACCATGCAGACTTTCTCACCATTTTGAACAGATTAAGAAAGTTATTACCAAGGGCTAAGCCTGGAGTGTGGCACGCCACACTTGGGGGGAGACGGTCAAGAGACGCGAATTCTCCGGCTGCCATCAACTCGAAACTGCAGTTTAGTGCTATGCGAATCTTCAAAAAATATCAGACCAAGCGAATTAGCTTAGTATCGGTCTGAGGTCACCACTTGCCGAGTTTCATTGTTTTTGCTATAAAATGGACTGAAATATTTACGAATTTGTTCTTAAATGCATTTTCATGAGTTTTTGACCTTCAGAATTGCTGTTTTGAATTTTTTACAGAGTATTAAGATTGAACAACACATGCAACTATTTATCTTCTTCCAAACTTCATATGTTTTTAGAAACTTGTAAAACATTTATTATGTGCTATTTGGTGTCCAGCTGGCAATAAAAATCGTGCCTCTTGACATACACCCACTGGGAGGGGGGGGGGGGGCATTGAGGAGTTAGAAAGGGACGGGGTAATCGAATAATACTGACATTAGAGATAACAAGATATTTTTGAACATTGTGTCAGATAACTCCATTACGCGAAATACACACATGAGATATTGATTTGTTATCGTATGTCTACCGTAGCATAATAAAGAGCAAAGAGTAATATTTCCGAAACTTGCATGTCAAATGACCCCGTGGGGTGACTTGGAGCTAATTCTGAAGTCTTCAAATACTGGATCACCTGAGTGAAATGGTCATTTTCGAACATGATTATTTGTTTCAAGAATTAGCTACCTCATTTTTCACTCAGTACAAAGCACTACTCCTTCTTCGTCCATTTGAGGAATCTCTCTTCCAAACAGGGCCCTATAATTAGAAGCAAGCCAAAATCTTGTTTGTCTTATTCGCTTTCGATGGTTGTGCTTTCTCTAACAATTACTCAGAGCAAAAAAAAAAAGAATCAAGCTCAAGTCACTCCTGTGAGAACGAGGTTCGGGCTATCGATTTGTTTGGATACGATTCGCTAAAATGATTTCATTGCATAGCTAAGGGGTGTGGCACAGCCCAGCCCAAAAAATTGTGGCAGCCATTTTTTTGGGATTGTGCCACAGTCAATCAACTTACCGCTAAAGAAGTTTTTAACGTATAACATATATATACAGTTCGGTAGCCTAAATTCCAATCCCCAGGAATGATTTGAGCCTAATTCGTCTTTTGCACTCAATATTAGTTGGTGAAAGCACATCCATCAAAGCACAAGATGGACAAACGACAATTTGGTTGGCTCCTAATCCACACTTCGGATCTCTTTTGAAGCGGGACTTCTGTAGTGGACAAAGATATAGCAGGGCTTTGTATCGAGTGCAAAAAGAGGTAGCCAACTCTAAGAGACAGACAAATTTAATCATGCTTAGAAATAGCCAATTTCAAGTGGCCACACCGCTCACAAAATGTGCAGAATTTCCGTGAAATGCGAATCACGCAAACTTCGCAGCGCCATAACTTCCTTCGGGATGAGTGTACTCTGAACCCGAAAGCAGCACTGTGTTGTGAAGGCGAATCTTCTGATTTAAAACATGTGCACGATATTCCATTTCCAGTTTTCTCAAATTTTTCCGCCGAGTCATTCGCAAAGGTGTAAAGCAGCGCGCATTGCCCCTGGTAGATTACAGCAAAAACCATTCGTTACCACTTATTTTGTAGATTATGGAGCGCCAGAAAGTAGTCACAGGTTTTTTCTAAAAGAAATAAAAGAGCTGGTGAATTCTGAAAATCATGTCATTTTAAATCTCCACCATCTAAAATATGAAGCTATCTTGCTGAGCAGATGTGATTTTCGTAATAAGCAATCGGATAACCTCTATAAGCAAGTTTTCGGAGATGTTAGGGTTATTTCATTTTTGCTCGTTTTACACTCTGATGGCGACGGATTTTGGTCAAGATTTGATAATCTTTGCTTGTAAAAAAAAACTTCGCTAATAGAGATTTTTGGATACTCTGTTTAAAATCATGGTAGAGTAATATAGAATCAATTGTAGAGATATGGTGAGGTAACTGTAATTGAGCCACGAAATTTTGTGACTTCGCCTGCACTTCTCGCGTATCTTTCAGAAAACTTGACCGCTTGTTTTTATAGGTTAAAGTTACTGGGAACTGTACTGTCGAATGGTGCATGTTTCCTTCGCCCGGGGGATCCCATTGTATTGAATGGTGGTTGCATGTGCTTAATTGAATAGGTGCCTTTGAGCGATGTGGACGAAACTGATTAGCATGTTATACACCATGCACGTGAAGATGGGTTTTTGTAGGCTCGTAACTCGAAGATTTCCATGGACTGAAGCCTAAGATGCACCATTGGATGGCACAATTCCTAGTAACTTTGACCTACAAAGGCAAGCGGTCAAGTTTTCTGACAGATACGCGAGAAGTGCAGGCCATACGAACTTTCGTGACTTAGTTACAGTTACCTCGCCATCTCTGAAAAAAAAAAGCTTTGTACTCTATAGAGACCGCAAGTTTTATAAACAGCGCGTTAAGCCTCTACGAGCGAAGTCTCTTTACAATCAAAGATTATCGACTTTTGACCAAAATCCATCGCAGAGCGTGCAACGCAAAATAATGAAATAACCCGAACTTCTCGGGAAACTTGCTCCGTAGGTTATCTGATTTGCTGTTTACGAAAATCATACCTGATCAGCAGGAGAACTTCGTATTTTAGGGTTATGGCTAGTAAAATTCAGAACGACGTAATTTTTCCAGAATTTACCAGCCCTTCTATTCCCTTTAGATAGAATTCCATGGTTACTTTCTGCTAAAACAGTACTACCGAATAGTACTTACTGGCGTCTTTTTTGTTGGATGGGTGCTTCGTTACATCCTCGAAAGGTTTGAGAAAGCTGGAAACGGAATGTCGAGGACATGCTGTACATCTTAAGATTCATCTTGACGAGCTGAATACGCTGCTTTCGGATTCAGAATATATTCGTTCCGAAGGAAGTAATGGCGCTGCGTGATTCCCATTCCGCAAAATCCTCGGAACATCGCGGATTCCTGGAATTTTGCGGAATTCCGGAAATGTCGCGACTTGAATTTCCGAAATTCCGCGACATTCACGTAAATTTTGCACATTCTGTGT